ACCACCATGAATATGGCAGTGTGGTTTTGAGAAGGTGGCAGTTCTATAATAAAATCCATAGACACCATACTCCATGGTCTATCGGGCACTGGTAAGGGTCGTAGTAGGCCCCAAGCTTTACTCTGTGTAGGCTTATTCCTGTTGCATATGGCGCAGGTTTTGACATATACTTCACAGTCCTTGGCCATACTTGGCCACCAAAACGTGTGCTGGGTCAGCTCTAACGTCTTGCTTATTCCGAAGTGTCCTGCCAAAGTATGGTCGTGACAGTAGCCCAAAACCAGGGTTCGGGCCTCTTCAGGAACCACAATCTGTTCCCCCTTCCATAGCAACCCTTCCTTGTTCTGAACTGAGATTCCAGGTGGGTCGGGGGCCCCCATGGATGCGGCTTGTAACTTGAACAAGAGCTCAGACTGTAAGAGTAGGATGCTGGCAGGATGGGATCGGGTTTAGGGACTTCCTCGGGGTCTTCAAACATTCGTGATAGGGCGTTGGGCTTCGTCTTTTTGGAGCCAGGACGGTAGGTTATGTGAAACGAGAAACCTCGGAAGAACAGCGCTCATCTAGCTTGCCAAGGTCTAAGGCGCTTAGCCGTTCTGAGGTACTCCAGATTTTTGTGGTCGGTATAGACCAAGACTGGGTGCGGGGCCCCTTCGAGGAGGTATCTCCACTCTTCAAACGTGGCTTTAATTGCCAGGAGTTTCCGTTCCCCAATATCGTAATTTCTCTCCGCCGGAGTGAGTTTCCTGGAGAAAAAGGCTACTGGATGGATGAGGTCTCTTTGTGACAGAATAGCTCCTACTGCATTTTTTCGGATGCATCTACCTCCAGGATGTATGGCCGGGATGCATCCGGGTGACTAAAGATGGGGGCAGCCATGAACAGCTTCTTCAGGGTCTCGAAGGCCGCCTGCGCTTCTGGTGTCCAATGAAATCGTATTCCCGCCTTGGTAAGTTTGGTGATAGGCGAAACCAAACCTGAGATATTCTTAATGAATTTTCTATAGAAGTTCGCAAAACCGATAAAGCGCTGCACACCTTTTTTAATCTGCTGGGACTGGCCATTCCAGGATTGCAGAGATTTTATGGGGATCCATTGCAATTCCTGAGGTGGAGATGATTAACCCCAGGAACTGGATACTATCTTGCTCAAAGCCGCATTTTTCCGCTTTGGCAAAAAGTCCGTGCTGGCAAAGTCGCTCCAATACGTTTCTAACGTGACTTCGAAGTGCTTCTAGGGATGGTGAGAATATTAGGATGTCATCCAGGTAGACGATTATGAAGATGTCCAGATAATCCTTGAAGATGTCATTGACAAAGTGTTGGAAGGTGGCCGGGGCATTGCACAACCCGAATAGCATAACCAGGTACTCATAGTGCCCAAATCGGGTGCGGAAGGCTGTCTTCCACTCATCCCCTTCCCGGATACAGACCAAGTTGTAGGCGCCCCTGAGATCCAGCTTCGTAAAAATGGAGGCCGCCTTTAGTCTCTGAAATAATTCGGGGACTAAGGGGAGAGGGTAGCAATTCTTAACCATGATTTTATTTAATTCCCGGTAGTCCACACAGGGTCTCAGTGACTGATCTTTCTTTTCGACAAAGAAGATTCCGGCCCCCGTGGGAATGTGTACGGATGGATAAATCCTTTTTTGAGGCTCTCCTCGATGTACTCTTTCAAGGCCCCCAACTCCCGTTCTGATAGAGGGAAGATTCGGCCAAACGGAATCTCAGAACCCGGCAGGAGGTCAATTTGGCAATCATATGCCCGATGTGGGGGAAGTATGTCCACTCCCCGTGGGCTAAAAACATCAAGATAGGAGTGGTAGGCCGAAGGAATAGCCTGGACTAATTCTTCCTCTGTGGTTACACAGCACAGAGACTGAGTGGCTCCGGGTGTCTTGAGGCCACAGTGTTCCTGCCAATAAGGGGACGTAAACTGAATTCCCCCTGTTCTCCAATCGATGTGAGGGTCATGGGCTCGCAGCCAAGGAAGTCCCAGGATTACTGGAAACAGGGATGATGCGATGGCGTCCAAACAGAGGAACTCCTGATGGCGTTCAGCTATTGTAGTGTGGATCGGCGGGGTCTCTCGATCTACTAATCCGGACTTTATCTGGGACCTGTCTGCCAAGAATATATTCGGACCCTGCTCTTTAGTCTGCAACGGAATTTGCTGGTGAGCTGCAAAGCCAAGGTCGATGAAGCAGCTACAAGCTCCTGAATCAATAATGGCCATCACTGGTACGAGCCTTCTGGGGAGCTGGAAAGAGACAGGCACAGCTAAGTGGGTTGCGTTGTTTAGGCAGGAGGAAGACACAGCAGAAGCAACTGAAGCACACTTACGCATCTTCTCAGGACAAGAACGGACTATATGGCCAGCTGCTCCGCAATATAAGCACAAGTTGTTCAGCCGGCGCCTCTGGCGTTCTTTGAATGTCAGAGAGGGCCGCATCACTCCGATCTGCATCGGTTCAGGCCCATCAGCCATTTCCTGACCTCAATTCCCGCTTGGGGAAGTAGATTGGAGTGGAACCCGGGGTAACACCCATGTTGGCCTGAAATTCGGATTGGCCCTGTGGTTGATTTGGATGGCCACTTGAATCAAATCTTCCAGCGTGTCGGGTATACAAACTCTGGCTAGCTCGTCCTTAAGGGGTTTGGACAGGCCCAACCGAAATTGGTGATGTAGAGCTGCGTCGTTCCACTGTGTGTCCCCACTCCAGCGCCTGAATTCGGCCGCATAATCCTCCGCTGCCCGGCGGCCTTGTTGCATTGTATTTAGAGCCGCCTCTGCCGAGACGGCTCGCTGCGGGTCATCGTAAAGTTGTGACATTGCCTTGAAAAATGATGACACAGAGTCTAAATGTGAGTGACAATCCTTCATCAAACGATGGGCCTTTAGGTTACCCCTGCAATAGTGAGATAATGAACCCCACTTTTACAAATTCTGAGGCAAAGGTTCGGGGTTGAAGGTCAAAGTAAAGCAGGCAGGAGTTCTGGAAGGCCCTGAACTTCTTCCGGTCCCCATTAAAACGCTAGGGCGTTGGTACTCAAGGTTCAGGTTGAGGGATGGTGAAGACCGCTCTGGCGGAGGGTTCTGCGGGATCCTGAGCCGGAGGTGCACTCGCCGTGGAGGACGGCGTGGCTGCTGGTGCGGTTAGGGTCTGGATATGTCCCTCCAGATGCGTATACCTCTCTTGCAGCAATTTCACCGCCTGGATAAGTGCCGCCAGTTGTTGGCAGATCTCGTCCAGAGGTGAGGGGCCTCTTCCTGGCTCAGTCATGGCTTTATGGTTCTGTCAGCGGCCGACTGGCGGTAGCCTCTAGTGATCCACTGGCCGGAGTCCCTCAGGGCGCGGAGTCTAAGCCTCAGTCTGCTGGTTCACCAGAGCCCCTGATGGTGGGGATGGACTTGAAGCAGCCTGAGACCAGGTCGCGACCCCCGAGGAACACCAGCTGTGGTAGAGGCGGGTGCCAATGGCGTAGAGCAGGTAAGAGCCAGATATGAAGAGCTATGCATGGTCAGACAGGCCGGGTCAGTAACAGTGTGGAGCAGGCAGTATAGAGCGGTAGGCAAAGAATAACAGGTCACAAGCCGGGTTCAGCAACAGGAGGTCAGGCAATGGGAGCAAGCAGAGAATGGTCAGGACAAGCCAGGGGTCAGAGCAGGAGAGGACAGCAGTATCAGGATCAGGCAGGGTCGGCAACAAGGCAATCAAGAGTACAGGACAATCGGGAACACAGGAACCAGGAACAAGACCATAAGGTGATTTGGAGATACACAGGGCTGGTTTAAATAGGGCGCCCTGTACTCTCATTGGTGACAGGCACGCGTCTGCGATCGCGAGTGCACGGCCGCTGCCGCGCTCGCCGGCTAGAGTGTATCGGTGATCTGCGCATGCGTGCACTGCCGATCGGCCGGGATCCCTGACAGATGTAGAGGGGCGAATGAAACCCTTTTGGAGATTTTCATCTATGTACTCTTTTAGTACCCCCAACTCCTGCTCAGATAAGGGGAATATTCGCCCAAAAGGAATCTCAGATCCCGAGAGAAGGTTGATGGGGCAGTCATAGGTTCAATGTGGAGGAGAGAGTTTCTGCCCCCCGCTTACTAAACACATCGAGGTAGGTGTGGTAGGCTGTGGGAATGACTTGGGTCAGTTCTGCGTCTATGTCCATACATAGCAGGGACTGTGGAACTGCGGGAACCCTGGAATAGCAATGCTCCTGACAGTATGATGACCAAAACTGAATTGACCCTGTCTTCCAATTAATATGGGGATCATGTGCTCGTAACCAGGGAAGCCCCAGGATAATTAGAAATAGAGGGGATGCAATGGCATCCAGGCGGAGAAATTCCTGATGGTGATCAGCCACCGTAGTGCAGATAGGTGGGGTCTCCTGGTCTACTAACCCTGATTTAATGCGAGACCCATTGGCTAGGAAGATATTTAACCCACATTCCTTTGTCTGTAGGGGGATCTGCTGTCGAGCTGCAAAGTCTAGGTCTACAAAGCAGCTACAAGCTCCTGAGTCAATGATTGCTGTCGCTGACACGGTCCTTCCAGGAAGCTGGAAGGAGATAGGCACGACTAAGTAATTTGACTTATTAAGACAGGTGGAAGATACAGAAGAAAAAACAGAGGCACACTTACTCAGTTTTGCTGGGCCGGAGCTGTTAGGGATCCGGGTATGACCAAAAATGTGTGGACTGACACAGGGAAACGCAGACTTCAGGTATAGTGTGAATAAGACAATTTATTAAGACTAAACAAAACATAGATGCAGTGCAAGACTAAACAACAACACAGTGCAAACAAACCAACCCAAACCTCCAACAGATAACAATAGAAACAATACTAAGAGTAGTCGGGCAGGCCGGGTCGGTAGCAAATGGGCAGGCAGGGCACAAGAAACAGGCGGAAGAGTAGTCAGGAATAGCTGAGGTCAGGACAGGCAGAGTTCATGCAGAGTCAGGGATTGAAGCAGAATCTGGAAAAGGCAGAAAGGAGACAGGATGCAGGTACAGGGGCCCATGGGAAACATACACCAAGGCCCTGATCACAGGCCTGGCCATTCCTTAAATACACCTGTTCACCTTCAGGTGATGGCTCATTGCAGGAGTGAGCCTCTGGTTGCTGAGAGCACCCACTGGCCAGCCCTGGTACTGCAGCCCACAAGGCAGGTGAGTCCCACCACCACTGGCAAGTCAGTTCCTGACCTGACAGGAGTGTACCACATGACCTGCTCCCCCGCAGTACAGACAGAGATTGTTTGCCCGACGTCTCTGGCGTTCTTCAACCGTTAATGACGGTCGCGTCAATGCCAATTGCATGGGTTCGGGCATCTCGGTGGCTTCCGGGTTCCGATTCCCAACAGGAGAGGTAGACTGGAACGGAACGCGAGGTAGTACCCATGTTGGTCTCTGACCCTGGCTGGACCTCTCTGGCTTACGGTCCCGCAATCTGTGGTTGATCTGGATGGCCAGAGTTATGAGGTCTTCTACAGTATTGGGTATGCCCACTCTGGCTAGTTCGTCTTTAATAGACTCGGATAAGCCCATGCGGAATTGGTGACGCAGGGTTGCATCATTCCAATGGGTGTCCCCCATCCAACGTCTGAACTCCAAGGCGTACTCTTCCGCTGCTCGGCGACCTTGTCTGAGTGTATGCAGGGCTGTTTCAGCCAATGCTGCCTGCTGCGGGTCATTATATAACACCGCCATTGCTTTAAAAAACGCTGTTACCAAATCCAGATGTGGATGGCGGGTCTCGAGTAGACGGTGGGCCCAGCCCTGGGGTTCATCTTGCAGTAGGGATATAATGAACCCCACCTTCACAGATTCTGCAGAAATGTCTGCGGCTGCAGCTCAAAGTATGGTTGGCATGCATTGCGGAATGCCCTGAATTTTCATTGATCCCCATTGAACTGTTTCCGGCATCGGTACATGGGGTTCCGGTGGAGGCATTGAGACCATTGCTCTGACAGGAGGTTCCGAGGGGTTCCTGGTCGAAGATGGAGTAACCGGTTTCTGAGATGTGGATGACGGCGAGGCTAGCGTCTGAATACGACCTTCCAGATGTGTGTAACCCTCCTGTAGCATTTTCACCGCTGGGTGAGCGCCACCAGATGTTGGCATATATCGTCCAGCGGGGATGGTCCTCTTCCAGGCTCAGTCATGGCCGTATGGTTCTGTCACGATCCACCTGGCGGTATCTCTAGCAACCCACAGAACGGGATTTCCCAGGGTGCGGGGTCTAAGCCACAATCTGCTTATTCACCAGGGCCCCTGATGGTGGGGATGGACTTGGAGCAGACGGAGACCAGGTCTCGACCCCTGAGTGCACCCGACTGTGGTAGAGGGAACCGCCGGAGGTATGTATCGGAAGAGAGCCTGATGTGAAGAGGCTGGCAGACCTGGGCAGTGGTGACCGGATCCGTGCAGGATGGATGGATGACCGAGTACGTGTAGCGTAGTCAGGCAGGCCGGGTCAGTAACAGCAGAGGCAGAATGGTACAGAGCAGCGGACAGAGCAGTCGGGTCACAAGCCAGGTTTCAGCAACAGGAGGTCAGGTAATCAGGAGTAAGCAAAAGAATAGTCAGACGAGCCAGGGATCAGAGCAGGAGACGGTCAGCAGAGGTCAGGATCAAGCAGGGTCGGCAACAAGGTATCTTACGCAGGAACAGAATGAAGACCATACCGCAATGTAAGCATTGCACGTGCCTGGGTCCTAGTGCCTGCCCAACCGTCATTGGTGACAGGCGTGCCTGGGTCCTAGTGCCCACCTGCCTGTATGTCTTTGTCGGGATCAGATCTGTGCAGATTCGTGCGCCGTGGTGATCTCTGGGATTCCTGACAGATCCACTTTCAAACGAATCCCGAATATCGCTCCATTATGAGTTTCCCTCCTTGATAGACACCGACCCTGAAGTCCTTCCTCGTCTCCTTGACTAAAAGACCCACCTGACCTCCCCCTTGGAGCTGAGTGCCCTTCTCTTCATTTTTAGTTAAAGGAAATGCGACTCGCCTTCTTGTCAGACTCCTGATGAAACTGATCCCAGTCTTGACCCCTGGGGTTGTTCCCTAGGCCCCCCCTTTTCTCCCTTTTTTCCTATTCTTTACTCTTTCTCCTCCTCCTTCCCTCTTACTCCTCCTCCCTTCCCCTCTCTCCCACCCCTGCCCCACCCCTTCCCCCTCTTTCTGCCCCTACCCCTCTCCTAGTCTCCTCCTGCATGGGAATCTTTCCCCCCCTCCTTCCTTTTCCCCTACTCTTTTCTACCCTCTTTCCTCTCCCACAAGTCACACCATCATTAGCACTCTCCAATACACACTCTCCTAAGTTTCCACAGAGTGGTACTGATAGATATACATACCCTTTGACTTGCTAAATAGCTACTAGAAATTCCGACCCACAACCCCCTCCTACATAGACTTACATACCATGTTTTGTACCACGCCCCATCTCCTATTGATCCTCCAAGGACTTCAGGTTATTATGTTCCCAGACCAGACAGACATCTTTGCCCCATGGAGAGACCTCCACCAAAACTGCGGTTTGGAGAAACCCTTCCTCTACTTTGGAAGTATTCCCTCGCAGTCTGTATTTCCTCTTCACAGTATGCACTGATTGAGGGTTTTGGACTATTTGTACTGCCTAATAGTATGTGCCTGTCTGTATGCCTTGATAATTGTGATCTACATGATATCCCTTTAAGCTGTACTTTTGACTTGTACTGTTTCCTTGTTCCTAATAAAACGTTATGGGAAAAAAAAATATCTACCCAGAGAGATAGGGAAGGACTAGTGGTAGTCTTCCAAAATCTGGAAATAAAGTTGGAGTGCCGAAGAAAGGAAAAAACGTAAAAGATTAGTTTTTTGTGATTTGATAGAGCCAGGTTAATATAGATATTAGCACAATTTTGGGAGATGGAGTGATTGAGTCATCATAAATATCAGAGTATATTTGAAAAATTGTAGACCAGAGTGGACCAATAGGATCACAGTCCCACCACACATGCAACTACGTTCCCCTCTCCTTGAGACAGCTCCAGCAGACATCTGAAGCGGAAGGGAATATATGACGTATGAAAACCGGATCCCGGTACCATCTAGAGAGCAATTTATAGTTTTTTTTTCCTGTATATAGTTTGATACAGAAGATTTATGGCTTCTGCCATTCACCAGGGGAACTCTCCGCACCCAATTCCTCTGCCCATACCCTAGAGTAAGTAGGTAGAGAAGTATGTGTGTGGGCCAGTATCAATTTATATACTCTAGAGAGGACATGGCCAGGTAATTCGGCAAGAAGGCACATACTTTCAAAAGCCATCAGAGGCCTATGTATGTTTCCAGATGAATGAAAAAATTTACAGTACATGGATAGATGGATCTACGTAAACCAGTTGAAAGAAGACGGTAGGTGGGTAGAGGTATGCACAAAGAAGCCTGTAAAAGGATTAACAAAAGAGCAAGCAAATGGCCAAGAGGATCTGTCATAGGAGCCGTATACAGAGGTATTTGTGCTATTAGGAAGCTTGGGGCTGTCAAAAAGGGGGAGTAAGTCTACTCGGATCGAAGGACAGCGCATAATGACCACGTCGGAGGTACCAAACCCCAAGAACAGCTTCTGTCAAGGGGGAGAGCATAGGGAAAGTGCGATAAGAGCTGGAGTAACTCCAGGGTAGTGCCCGCAGATCCATTGGAGAAAGGTCTTGTTCGATGATGAAACAAGCTTTGGTAAACGGGCAGGGAAACCATTCTAATAGACGGGCCAGGAGTGCAGAGGAATGATAAATTTCAAAATCTGGAAAACCGGCACCCACTTTAGACTTGGGATGGCATAAAAGCTTATGTTTCAATCTGGAGTGGTGCCAGTGCCAGATAAATTGAATGGTGAGGGTGCGAAGGGCATGAAACAAAGCAGGAGGTAATAGAATTTGAATGGTTCACAACAGGTATAACAGCTTAGGCAGAATGTCCATCTTCAAAATGTTCATGCGTCCAAACCAAGGCACAGGAAGATCTCGCCAAGTCTCCAGTGACCGGCATATTTTAGTAAGGAGCGGACTAAAATTAAGATTATAGAGGTCTTGTAAATGGGCAGGAATCGCTGTACCCAAATATGTTATTGCCTTGGACTGCCATTTAAAGTGGAAATTGCGCTTAAGCATGGAAAAAGTATGTGAGGTCAGAGAAAGATTCAAGGCCTCTGTCTTAGTAAGATTCAATTTAAAATTACTAAAGCCGCCAAACCATTGAATTTCAGTTAGTATGGAGGGGATACGAATATGCGGTTGAGTAACATAATAAAAGGTCATCCACATATAAGGAGAGCTTACAGTGCGTGGAAAGGGTATGAATACCCTGAGTTTTTATTGCGTATTGCTTGGGCTAAATGCTCAATTACTATCACAAATAATAGTGGGGAAAGGGGGCAGCCCTGTCGTGTGCCATTAGAAATGTTAAACTGTTCGGATTGTATGCCATTAACTCGCACAGTGGCTGAGGGTGTGGAATATAGGGACATAATATGGCCTAACATTTTTGGATCCACCGCAATTTGTACCAAAGCCTGTCGAAAAAAGACCAGTTGACTCTGTCAAAAACCTTTTCTTCGTCACAAGAGAACGCAGGCCAGGACCTGAGTTTTCTGGACCATAGAAATAAGGTGAATAGTTTTTGTAGTGTTGTCCCTAGCCTACTTCCCGGGGACAAACCCAACCTGGTCTTTATGAATTATGTCAGGCAACAAAGGCGAAAGGCGATTCGCTAAGACCTTGGCAAAAAGTTTTAAGTCTATATTTAACAGCGAGATCAGCCTATAATTGCTACAAAGGGACGGATCCTTCCCTGGTTTCGGGATCAGTGCTATCTGAGCTTGAAGAAGTTCAGAGGAAAACGGGTGAGATACATCTATGGCTTTGAATGCGGCAACCAAGAGCGGAGATAACTGTGCGGCAAAAGCCTTATAGAAACGGGGAATAAATCCGTCAGGACCTGGACTTTTCCCAATCTTAAGGCCCTGTATGGCACCCAAGATCTCTGCAACCTGAAAAGGAGCCTCAAGGTCCTGTGTGTCAGT